AGAAAAGCCTAGCAATGCGAGGAAAATTGTTGTAAACAACCAGAGTGTGCTCTTCAGCCTGCATACAATAGATGTACTAGAACTCAAAATAGCACCACAGAAGCCAAACAAAAAACCCAACAACAACAACAAAAAAAACCACCCCAAACTTTAACAAACAATAAGAACATTGTTTATTTTTAACAGACACTGAAGTGCTGTTCTCACTTTCTAGATTAAGACCATCTCCAAAAAGCCTGTTACTGCCCAAACCAAATTCAAGTTTGGGAAGCTTGGTGAATACTTACTTCAGTTATAAACGTACTGCCAAAAACCTAGGGATGGGAATGCAAGATGTTGTTCAAGGTTAAGAGCCTCATCCTCTCTTTTGTCTTTGCTTTTCCAGTTATAGGAATAGCAGCTTTAATAAACAACAGTAGAAACAAAGTTTCAAAGAGAAATTGAGTGTGAAACTTACAGATTTTGGCGACAGTTCTCTTTCCCTGCTTTTTGAGTTCCTTAACCTTATGCCAAAGTCTTCCTCTTAACACTTGCCAGGGCTATTGAATACTGAAGTCAGTGTTCTGCACTTCATACCCAAACACCCAGAACTCAGAGATGTGAGGAGTGCTTGCTCCCCTATCTGCCAGAACACAGCGAGACTGAAGTTTTAATCATGGATTCAGCTCTGGAATCTTAGAAATAAGAATTAATTATCCCCATGTTCTGTTATCCTTCCTTTCTCCTCCCCTCCTAGTTCTTTCATCCTATCAGGTACAAACAATAGCTTCTTATACCCTGCAGCACCCACCTTCTTCCCCTTTGGGACAGGAGACATAGCAGTCTCCTTGCATGGTCATGCTGGTCCGGAGTTATCTCTGGGACTCATGCTATCTCTTATGCTTGGTGGTGTGAGGGGTACATCCCTGCAGCACAAATATTGCTCACAATAATATGGGTAGGACTAGAAGTTGTTCACTAGCTCTATTACTAAATGAAAAGGTGCACAGGTGCATGTGATGTAAACATAAACTACACTAAAGCCATCTAAACTCATGGCAGTTAGTGAGTTAGCCATCTTAGCTACCTATCCAGTATATGAGGAGAGCTACCTGGAGACCCTAAAACCAACGTGAAAAGGAAAATACCACCTTCAGGGTGCACTTGGGAAGAGCATCTGAAGATCTGGACCATGTGGAGGGCTTTTTAGAGCTAACCAAGCAGCTTCTAAGCAGCAGTAGATCTAGATTACATTTCCAAATTCTGTGTGATTTTCTGATATATAAGTCCTTTCTTTGCTTGAGCCTCAAGCCTGACATGCCCCAGATCTACCAAACTGGATCTCTCAAGCCAAGAGCAGGAACAGTCAAGTTAGCAGCCCCACCCAGTATATGTGCACTTAAGAAAACATAAATGAGTACATAAATAAAAATCAAGCAGATGTAGGGAAATTCTGGCTGACGAAAATTCCTGTTGCTCACTCACCTGCCCCAAAATGTGATGAATCAGTGTAGCAGTAGCAAAAACTCCTGTATAGTATGATGGCATCCTCATTCCTTTTCCTCTTTTGAAAAGTTTTCTTATAGAGGAACAGGTGAATTAACTACACTTCAGATTGCATTATTTGTCTTGTCTGGCTTTCAGTGCTATTCAAAATGGAAAGGTATATAAGGAAAGCTTTGAAAAGGAATGTTACATGATATCAAATGCATGATTCTCTGGATTCTCCCCACTGACACACACAAACACACACATAAACAAATAAAACCACATCATTATCTCCTTCGTGTGTGGTAATTACCTAATTTGTGGTCTAACCACAGTGCTGGTCCAGAAACACACTAACTCCTTCTGCACAGGCTTGCTTGGCTCCAAGGAAGTTTCCTGAGTGGAGCTTGGTGCTGGCCGAGGCCAGGGCAGCTCAGAGCACATTACAGTGTGTCAACGGATGGGAAAAGCAGGCTGAGCTAGGAGGCTCTCCAGACACCAAATCCATTGGAAAGCCCTGTATATGAACCTAAGAAGACCTAGCTGAGATTTGGAAACTGTGGAAACAAACCTTAGGCAATGTCCCATGAGAACAGACTTTTCCCACTCAACTGCCCAAAGAATATTTTAGTTTCAGATTACTAAGGATAGGATCCTTGTCTTCCTCCTTTTCCATTTAGCACTCCTTACATTGTTCCCTAAAGACATGTCACAGACATGAGGCAATTACCATCTTTTAGTCATGTAGCAAACCTTTAGGTGGTATCTAGGCCACAAAATTTGGAGGGATTTACAATTACCTTCACCTACTTCATACCATTTCTTGCTATTTTTATGCTCCAAACTCACTGAATCTGTTTTTTATGGGAAAAACAAAGACAACCTAAAACTAAAACAAAACAAAACAAAACAAAACAAAACAAAACAAAAAATACCCCAATGAAACAAACAAACCCAACAAACCTGATCATGCAGTTAAGGACAAAGTCACTGACGGTAAGATCACAGTACTACTTTTCTACTGTCCTTTGCTGCTAGAAATAAGCTGCAGGCAAGAGAGGAAAAAGAGCTCTGAATGCTAGCTGGAGTGCTTGCCTTTGAGTGTGTGCTAGAGAAATCTTGGTGCTCTGCTGCTTGACTTGGGGTACAAGGTAGACACTTCATGCCTCATCATTTCCCAGTATAATATGGCTTTTGCAGCTCAGCCAAACCCTTACAGAATTTGTATGACAAGTGAAAAATACAATGCTAGCCTGAGGGCTTTGTCCTTGCCAGATTTCAAAGATTAACTACATAAATGTGGAGCTTGTATGTGTGGCTAAAAGCAAGTCACACAAACTTTTACATAATAGAAATTGTCAAGCAGTCTATACACATTGCTGCTAGATCTTTAACTTTTCTTCCTCTCGTGGCATTCCTTGATAATAATGCTCCTAATGATTGCTATGATCTTATTTTATCCTAATAATCCTGAATTACCTTACCTGTTGATGTGATTTGCATTCCACATCAGTCACATCTCTAAATGCACAGGTCTCAACGACTTTGGTCACTGAGCTCTTTAGCAGGACTACTTCAGAAGCAACTGTCGTGGCTCTGATACCCTTTCTGGCATTGCAACAGATGTGGAGTTCCCAGTTTCTGTCTGAACTGGCAGTTCTCTGTTCTTGTCTATCATCCCTTCCACAAAGGCTGCATGGAAATTCCAGTTATGTGAGTTATATTAAGGGTCAATCCCTTTTGTGAAATAATCAGCTGAGAAGTAGTGATAAAGTATCTTGTCAGCTAAAGTGTTAGGAAGAACAGCCATTCAAGAAAGATCATGTTCCTGCAATTTTTGGCTTTTGAAACAAATCTGTCAGATGCTTTTTATATAAAGTAATGTCAAGTCATTCTTTAGCTCCAACATTTTCTAGTTCAATACAGGAACACGGGGTGAACTATGAGTGTTTGAGTGTATCCAATTAAAAGCAAATTGACTGTCACACTTCACAGGGAATAATTCTATTTTAAACACCAGGTGTCACTGCAGTATACTCCTGCTTGGTTTCAGCAGTGTCAAAGATGAGTGGAGAACAAAGACGGCTCCTACTTTCCTTTCCCAAATGTTTGCATATAGCTACATGGTTAGCTGGAATCTGGGCAAATTGCTCAGCATTTAAACCAGACACATTTATAGTTTTACACAGTTGTCTTCAAACCTGAAGCCAGCCATTGTAATATAGCTATTTTATAGCTGAGAGCAATTGGATTTTATACATATACATGTGTGTGTATACATATATACACATATATAGATATATCCTATATATACATGTTAATTCTTGTCAAGAGAAATACGTGTGTGTAATACAGTTCTCTTCACAGAATCATGTATGCATTCTTTAGGTATCGGGTGATGTTCAGCAAGTTATTTCATCAAAGGATTGTATCAGGTTATGTATTCTGCAGCTTCTTGGTTCATAAAAAAATGTTCACTAAAAAGCAATTTATTAAACTCTCAGATACTGAATTTTTCACATTTTCCTGATTTTTACAAGTCTTCTTTTTAACCTACAAGCTTGTATCTTTCAAGATTAAGATATACGAACACAGGTTAAAGAACCATTATCCTGACAGTGAACAGACACTGCTTTCCTGTGTGAGTGCAATTTTTCAGCCTCCCATCTCAGTATAACTAACCATTGGCTGCAAGGTGAATCTTCCAGGAGCTCACTCATTGGTATTGGCGTGGTATTAATTGGGTAAAGCTGCTCTTCTCTCATCTGTAATTGAAGATACTGAGGGCAGGGGCTCAACCTGTGGGGAAACATTGAGTCCCAGCAGGCTGTGCACCACCTGAACCTCATGCTCTAGTGAATGAAGAAGCCTCACTCCAGTGCAATACTTCAAAGAAGATATTTCCTTGTGTTGTTTAGGTGCAGAACACAGACTTGTGTTATGTATTGAGCTGCAGACTTGGTTCAGCTGTCTCTGAAATGGTTCAGGATGCTCTGCAAGTATTTCTGCACAAAGGAGAGTACTGCTATTGATGGAGCCGTACTGCTAATGGCTGGGAATGTTACCTGGAGAGCATCTTCAGCCAAGAAAAAGGAACTGAATGCCATAACTAGTTCAGAAAATAACCCATTAAGCTGGTAATTGCTGCTCTTTAAAAATGCTGAGAGCTATGTAACTTTCACAGGCTCAAGACCAATGTTTTAACCTTCATCAAAGAGCATAGTGCCACCCCTTATTCAAGGGAGCTTCTGCTTTATTCTGCAGGCAATTTAAAATTTGCACAGTGCCTGCTTGAATCTTGACAGGATTGTGGCTTTGGGTGCGATACAGTGCTGTATAACACAAAGAACACTTAAAAGTTCTCCTAAGATAATGAAATCAGCAGAAAACGCCTGGAACAAGCAACAGTCTATCAAATGATGCAGACTTTAGGATGCAGAAAAGTCAGTGTCTGCAAGGACTAAATAAAGTATTTGTTAAGAAAACAGACAAATGAACAACAGCAAAAAAAGAGACACAGAATAATAATAATAAAAAAGACAAATCTTATTTATTGTGTTTTATTCCATCTGGTGACTGGATTTTTATATGGATTTCAATCCAATCTGTTTTCCCAGGATTTTTTAATTCAACTGATTTCACTGCAGTGTAGCATTTCTCATTCAACATAATTGACATGGATTTCCAATCCATTCAAAAGGCATTTGCAAATACATTAACCGGAGAAAATAGCAGAGCCAATTTGAAATGCTTTCAGAGAATGCAGGCCAGAATCTTAAATGTCTTTTTCCCCCCGTGTAAAGGAGCAAATATTAGGATACTGCTGTACATAAATGAAAGCTGCATTTTATATCATTGACCTATGTTCTGACTTTTAGATAACAGCCTCATACGTTTAAGTAACATATTTTTTTCTCCTGACATATTTACATAAAACTCATCTACGTTTACTGTAAATAACCATAATAACCTACTGTGCTTTCAGCAGCCAAAAGCTGGGTTGGCTAGAAATATCAGATGAAGATTCTTTGAATAAGGGTATGACTAAATTACACAACTTGTGTATACTCCTACAAAACATTGAAGGGAACGTCACGGCATTTATCACTTTACAAAATGCAACTTAGTGTTGGCTCTGAGCTGCTCTGACAGTAGCACAAGCCCTGCAATTACAGTCAAGCTACAATTTATGGAGCATACATTCTGCAATACTACAGCATTTTGGTGTCTGCAGTGCTGTTAATAAAACCATATTGATTTCAAAAAGGTAGCAAGCCAAATAACCACTCGTGTAGCAAACAAGGCTCAGCAGTGCCAGCTTGGAAGTCTGCATGCACTGACTCCAGGTTTATATATTACAGTCGTTTCACTGAACTGCTCTTGCTACCTTCAGAGCTGAACTGCACAGCTTATTTAACCGTATCCACTCGGTGAAAGCCAGAGCTCGATCTAATCCTCTCTGTTCAGAAGGTCATGCTGGTTAGAGGATGTCTGCAGTTCTTCTTCAGTGACCAGAAAATCAAATAGCTGTCCTGCAAGCACAATCTGCTGCTAGAACTTTCCTTGAGAGAATATTGCTAGAAAACCACTCTGCTAATAAATACTTTTCCCATTATAAAACAATGGTTAAAATAAACAAGTGTCTGTAATTGCAAATACTTATCCACTACGTTCTAAGTAGGCAATGTTCCATACATTTTGTGCTGAAGCTCCTATAGCACCCAATTTGAAGTGAATTCTACTGAGGTGGGTTTTTAGTAACAGCTATTGGAGATAAATATCCACATACCAAACTGTGTTTTTTGTTGTTCCTATGGAGGTCATATCAGACCATGAAGAAAATTCATTTCACTGAAAATACAAAGAAAAGTACCTAGCACCAAACCAAACATCTCCTAAACTTTTAGGATCTAATCCTGCACCCTCATCTCATACAAATTATTTTTCAGTGACGTCATCCACTTTTTCACTTCTTTTTTGGCGGGGGGGAGGGAGGGAGGGAGCTAAAAAGGCATCTGTGGAAGTCCAAATCTGCAGATGGTTGAAGGTACTTAGATGAGTGCACCTACATTTGCCCACTTGGGGATTATCATGGGACAAAAGCACATGCATATACAGTTTATTTTCATTTCATTTATGCTGCCTGGAGGCTTGATAAAAGATCAGGGACACAGAGGAGCTGCCGCTGCCTCTGAGTTGGGGGAATACTGAGAGAGCAATTCCACCCATCCCTTATGTGATTCTTGGCAACTTCACTGCAATCTCTTCTACCTTTATGAATAGGTTGTCTGCAAGATGGATGCAGCACAAATGACGCTCAGCTATTTTTCCTTTGACCTCTTTCTTCCAAGCTGCTACAGTAGGATATACTTGCCCTGCCCTGCCACTAAATGCTCTTCCCTGGGTTTGCAGGTTCACTCTGAGCACACGTTCAGCTCCAAGGCTCAGGCCTGTGAAGCCAAGGACGATTCCTCCTTGTCATCACCATGGAGTTGTCATCACTCCTCAAGTGTCTTCACTACAGGCCTACTGGAAAGCATGAAGGTGGTATATGGGGGAGCCACAGGGGTGATCCAGATGCTCATTCACAGTCAGAAATAGCTGCATGGAACTGCCTGCTGGTAGGATATCCAGAGGAGCTTTGTTCTGTGGCCATTCTCCAGTGGAGTCAGAGATAAAGACCAAATGATATTGTCCTCACACAGATGAGAAAGGAGGTTATTGTGCTCTTAGGTGTTTTTTACTAATGCATTTAAACACTGCACTAATTCACTTCTTACTGTACATCTTTACACGTCAGCTGCAAAACTTTGGCTGAACTTGAAAGAAAGTGAAGACCTCCACAGAAGTCTGCAAAACAGGATGTGGTTGCCCCAAAATGCATGACTTCAGAGCGCAAGTCCAGGCTTCTACATCCCAGCAGCAGATCAGGAAGATCCCATGCAGCATTGTGAAGCAACGCAGCCTCTGTGCCCACTGGACAGTGGCCAGGTACCGTATTTCATCAAGGACAAAAGAGAAAACTGACAGAGAGAGCTAAGCATGGCAGGGAGGAGCAGTTAGGTAAATAAAATCCAAACGTTAAAATAAGAGCGTCTCTTCGTACACATTAGGAAGGCTAAACACCAGTGCTTTTTTTCTTTTTTAAAGTAACAAGATTTGTAAGGTTTTAAAACCCCTCTCCAGTGTTACGAGGTTAAAATTACAAAGTTGGTAACATTATCATGAAATGAAAGGGAGGCATTCTGAAATCCAAAACAAAGCATTTTAAACTCACATCTTACTTATGTACTTTGTAAATACATTAAGCATGTTGATTCATTGTCATAAACTATAAGAAATTACACAGCTGCCTTTTAGACTGAACAAAGATCTCATTTCATATTTTGTATAACAAATATTCTAGTTAAAATTAGATGATGAAAATCTATCAGACTTTTTATAACAATGAACAAACATCACAAATGAAAGCTGATATTTAGAAATGTGTGCAGCAAAGGAAAAGCACATATAGTTGACAAGCTGCTATGCAGTTAACAGTGAGCATGTTTACATTTACACAAACATCTTTATTTTTCAGCACTTTGCTATCATAGAATGACAGAATGGTTTGGTTTGGAAGGGCCCTTAAAGACCACCTCATTCCAGCCCCTGCCATGGGCAGGAACACCATCCATTAGAATAGGTTGCCCAAAGCCCCATTGTGTGACTGTCCTTCTGGCCAGTTTGAAACTGAAGACTTCCAGAAACCAAACCTCACAGCTTGGCAAATCAGAATGGTAAGATTTATGTTGTCCATACATCAGGCAAGCTAATGGATACATAATATAATGATAACCCATACTTTTGCTAAGCAAATTGTAGTGCTCAAGCTAGATATATGAGCAGGTCAAAGCAAGTGTAGACCCTGAAGATGTTGTAGTGATTCTGCCTACAAAACTAATCATATAGAGTTAGGTGAAATATATCTACGTTGTGAAGACTCTCTCTTGCTGATCTATGGCTTACACATAAAGTAAGTTTAATCAAGTCAACAACAAGAACTTTGCATCAGAAAAAAGCTTTCATCCTTCTGTCGTCCATATGGAAAAGCAGTGTAGGGTACATGATATCCTAATGCAATCGACGGGAAGTAGGCAATTAATTTGTCTAATACTTTCTGTTGAGGGTATATGAATGCTGAGCATGGGATCTTTCATATTCGCTCAACCAAATGGGGTTCTCTCTCCTGGAAGAAAAGGAACCCACTGCTTTCATCTCTGTGATGCTCCATCCATAGTGCTTGTTCTCAGCATAATCCTCAACAAGTTGATATCTGACTGAATAGCAAGGGATAGAAAAATACTTTTCTGTTGTTTGCTTGTTTATTTGTTTTTATTTTTGAGGCTGAGATAAGTTCTGGCAATGTCTTCAGCCTGGACCATCCCAGAAGATATGCTGCAAATCAACTTCAGCACAAGCATATAAAGACATATTAATAGCAATTATGCACCCTGCTCCCAGGAAGAGATTTGCTTTTGGAAGTCTTCAGCATGTCACCCTAGAAGCAGCCATCAGATTGAATACCTTTCAGCATTCTAATTCTCCATAGAGAATTCTCACACACACCAAGTTACTTGTAAAGCATACAGCAGCCTTACTGCCCCAACCTAAATAAATAACACTGTTCTAAAATACCTGCTATTAAGTTCCAAAGAGCAGAAATCCCTGTTTGGCATTTGGTCCAAATTAAATTGTTTGTTGCTGAAATAGAATTCTTATAGTTATTGTGCAAACAAATTTATATACATGCTGAGAGAATAAAACCCTCCAGCTGGGATCCGTGCTGTTTCCAGCCCCACACTGCACACTGCCATGTATCTAACTGCTCTCAGGCCAAGGTACTCCACCTGAATGGCTGCTTTTGAACTCTACCACCCAACCTGGGCTTGCTAAGCGTGACAGTTCTGAGCAAGGTGAGCAATAAGCAGGGAAGCACTGACAGCCATTTGCAGAGCAACACAGTTAACAGTAAATTCTGTGAAGTAGAAAATGCTAGAGAGAACACTCTGTGTCACAGCTTTACATGTCAGCTTTCAGAAAGCACATTGAACCTATTTATCCAGCATTGTATAAAAGCACCATTGAAAGGTTGAACAGAGAGCACCGCGTATACAGAATTTTGATCAAGACAAGTGAGAGGAGCTGTTCAGGGAGCCATGGAGAAGTACAGAGTCCAGAGGAATCCTGGCAAGATGGGTTCCCTGGAGGCACAGTACACGAGGGCCTAAGGAACAAGGCAGCTGACCCTCAGCCAGCCGCTTTGTGGGATGGCCCAGCTTTCTGTGACTGATGGACCTGAACCCCAGCACCCGTTCCTCTCTGCAGTTCCCCCACCCTGCAAGGCCTGCTGCATACCAGCAAGCCTGTAATTGATGCCAGTACAAAGACTGAAGCTGCCAATTGTTCACAGTTGATATGGACACAGACCACATCTCCCTGAATACTCACTGTTGAACAACATCGGTTCTTCAAAAGAAGACTGCTCATTCTTATTGCAAAGTTAATTATCGTAGCTACATTGCTGGGCTTTCTAAAGGAAGTTTGTGAGAGGCTATTGCTAAACGGAGGCTAACTGAGGTCCAGTGCAATTGATGTGACTGTAAAGCTGTTTCCAACTGTTTCCAAAGCTGTTTCCCCCACAAAAAAATGGAGGAAACACTCTTTTTGGTGTGGAAAAAGAGTATGGAAGTACTTGGTAGAAAAGGCACTATAGCTGATCTAACTGCTGCAATTATGTTTGTGCCTGTGCACAGGTATCCTTAAACAGATGTTTCACTGTGACTGAGAAAGTGATTCTGAACTCGTCATTGTAGAAAGGGACTGCTGGCTTCAGCGTGTGGCTGGAAGTCCCACAGGAGACAGGTTCATGGAAGTTCATCCAAACTGCATGTCCTATTTCTACCTGTCCCCAGAAGGGAATCAGAAATGATCTTTTCAGTAGTGTAAGTACACTGACATTGCAGCTTTACTTGGCTTTACTACAGAAAAGTTGAGTTTCTTCAACAGTTATGCTAACAAATGGAGATAAAGAAATCACCTGTGAAGTTGTCCCAGAAAAGATCATTACGTAATAAATACCTCATTCAGCATGTTGCCTTTTTATTTGGGAATATGATGAAAGTGAAACAAATGGCAATGAAGAGATAAGTAGAAGAAACTCCCCTTTCTTTCCAGTAAAATTAACGTATTTGAAGATTGCTGCTGGAAAAATCTTTCCACCTGGTATACTAGTGAAAAAGAAGCATGGCAATAGCAGCCAAAGAACAGATCTTACTTCTGGTGAGAGGAAACGAAAACTAAGGTCAAGTGATAGAACTATTCATTTCAGAACCTTGAATTAAATTCTAAAATATTCTTCTTTAGCATTAGACTACATAATGGAGATTGCAGAGATGTAACTCCTTACCTGCCCTTGTTCAGGAGGTAATTCCCTTCATGGCTCACTGGGTCTGGAGGTGAGGGCAGCCATGCGTGCAGCAGCCCAGAGCCTGAGCCTGAGCGGGCTGAGGGTCTGTGGAGCTGAAAGCAAGTCCTCCTGCAAGGAGTTCAGAGGAAACTGGCCTGGTCAGAGCCTGAATCCTGATCACAAACAGATCAGGGATGGCAGCTGGGACTGAATGCTGTAAGGAACAGTGGTTGTATTATGTCACCTGCCTAAAGTTGGAGGCTGGGTGGGGAAACAGACAAAGCATTTCCCAATAGAGGAAAGAAAGGAAAGAAGGGGCTGAGCCTCACTGCTCTTCTTCCCATCCAGCACTCCTGGTTCTGCTCTGAAAGACAGTGAATATGAGCAGGCAGGCCCTTCTTTGCTGGACTCGCTGATATTGGCGAGGCTTACTTTGAGGTTGATGCTTTATTTTCTCTTTTGCAGCTTAAAATTTTGAAAGCAAGACCTCCATGTTTTTCTTTGCTATTATTTTTTGAAATTGCATCTGTGAACCTGACAAACCTCATGTTGCTACTGTTTCTTCAAAAGCAGTCATCCATATAACAAGTACGATAGTCCTTAAAGGATAACTGCATCCTGAGATGTGTGTGGGAACCACAGAGTGGGGTATGGCTCCCACTATGCTGTAGGTGTCAGACTGAGACAACATACAGAGAGCACGGAGCAAAGAGCAAACATGGAGCTAAATCTCCAAAGAGTCTCCAAATTCAGCACAGATCTTCTGAAATGTGAAGCATTTTCTCTTTGGCCTTAAACAATGTGAAGCAGAAGAACAGAACAGTCAAAGATGAACTTCACAAATTCACATTCAAGGGAACACTGACAGGAAAGGAAGACCACAGTCAGCTTTAAAAAGCACTGCAGTGAGGTGGAAGCAAAGGCTGCAGCTGTGGAAGCACGGCAGCACAACCAAGAACAAGGCAGATGCAGACTGGACTGGATGGCCTCGCTCCAAAGAAGAGCCTGGCCCAGGTGTGTCACCTCACTGTGTGTGAGGTTGGGCTCCATGATGTCTGTGTTCCTCTGTGGGCATCCAACTGCACTGCTCCTCAAAGCCATGGTCATTACAGTCAGTGTCCATAAACCACTGCACCTCATCCAGTTATAAGCTTACTTCTAGGAAGCGTGTGTACCCAGAGCTGTGTTGCCCTTTATAGTACCAAGCACTGTGCACTAGCCAGTGGTCTGAGTGGTCTCAATCTCATGCATCAAACCTCAGTACCAACTGAACCCATGCTAAACCCATGCTAGGCTGATACAGAATGAGACAATCCCTGTTTAAGTACTGTTTATCTTGCATTAAAATAAACTACCCTTCAAGCGCATGCCAGTAGTACCTATGTGAATGTTATGTGAAGGCTACCCAGTCTGGACCGCAGTTTATGCCTTTTTACAAAGCACCTGTATATGTGAGTATACACAGGGACACACAAAAATGTACACATAACTGTGTACAGATGCATATAATATAATGTACATCCTCTACTGTTGGGCTATTCTTGTATTACTGTACCGTTCATTGTACTGTTCTTGAAGAAAACAAGAGTATCAGTCCAGTACCTGCTTATTTCATCTCAGCACTGTACTTTGTTTTCAACAATTACAGAGAAACTTCATATCTCTGGAAAGACTGTGGCTTTCCAACTGTTTGTCAGAACCCCAAGAAGTTCTTGGTCCCATCAGTTCTGACTCTCCTGCTCCGTCTAGCTGAGGAACAAGAATGACCAGTGGCTAATCCACACAAAATACACTCTCCTGCCTTCTTTTTGGCCTTCTGTCAGTATTCTTTTATATAGACTCCATTATTTTGAGCTTAAAAACAGCAAGGCGTGCTCCTCAACCCTGCTCAAGAAGATTTAAAAAAAAATAAAACAGGATTTGTTCTTTTACATACTTCTAAAATAGGAAAAAGATATAAAGCAAAAACCAATAAAACCCAAAGAAAGAACAGGATTCCTCTCATTACATAAAGCAGTAAGTTAACCTACAAAAGCTTTGAAGATGAAAATGTGCTGTAAAAATGAAAAACATCATCCACTCAACACAGAAATTTTCCTATATAATGCACTAGTCAAACATATTATAATACTTTAAGTCTTTAAAAAAAGGGCAAAATTCTTCAAAAGATGAGTCAACACTATTAAGGTGAGACTAAACATTATGGTAATATTCATTTGTACAACCTTCTGCAACACGACGGATGTCTTGCATGTGTCTGTGCAGGTACATGTGTGCATGTTGTGGGGATAGAGCGAGAATGCTAAGGGTTCCATTTGCCATTTTAAAACAGTATTTCACAAATAATTACATGGAAAATCCTAAAAATACCAGTACACATCTCAAATACTGCAAGTACACACTCTACAGCCCCTGATGTGAAAAAGGAAGGAAGGAAGAAAGGTAGGGAGGAAGAGAGGGAGGGAGGGAGGGAGAAAAAGTCTACGGAATTAATTCAAGTACATTTGCATTATGTCCCTTGTGATATGAAGTAACTGTTGCTTACGCTTTAGTTGCAATGACAATGGAATGGGAATTCTACCCCACCTCAACCCTCACGGTCCTACCAGGCTGAATTAGAGCTCCCCAAGAGATGCTGACACACCTTTCCCAGCCCTCAGAGTCCACCTGACTGAGGCATGGCGGTCTGCGAGTTGCTCAGTGGATTCCGGAATGTGGTGAAAAACGATTCTTGAAAAATACATTGAAGCAACTGACACAAAATAATCCTCTAAAATGAAAAGCTAGCTTTGCGTAAAGGCAGTCTTTTTGGTATGTAACCCTATCAGGATGACAAACACAGTGCTCCTTCCTGAATTCTGGCCGTCTAGGAACTAACAATAAAAAGCCAACAATAAAAATTAACCTTCCTGTAAGCTTCTGTCCACCGCCCAGAATCACCCATAGATATCATCCGCTCGCTTGAAACGTACATGGCTTCTTCACATCTTCTGTTCTGCACTTAGCTTTGCTCCTCATAATGAGAAGCGCTTCCCTCTTCTTGTTTCGCATGCTCCTTTGAAACACCAGCAGACAACACTAAGGCTGAAACCCGGATGCCGGAGTAGTTAAAGTCTGGTGATGTCCCTGTGGTGCTGCAAGTCCCCTATGCTCTCATAGTCATTCTCTCCTGACAGAGCAATGTGGTTTGTGTGAGGCACAGACAAGGTCCTGTCTTCGTCTTGGCTCACTGCCTGGATAGCTTCATAGTCGGGCTCCAGCTCCCCGCTGGGCCTGCCCGCCGACTGAGGCACAGTGGTAGTACTGAGGGTGTTCTCAAAGTCCTTCACACTCGCATAGAGGCCGCTGCAAACTGACGGGGACCTCTGAGATGTGATTTCTTGAATACAGGTGTAAGGAGAATCCATTGCCCTGATGGCCTGTCCTGGCTTGCTCACCGAAGAGTACATGGCTGAGATCTGGGAAAAGGAGATGCCCGCTGAGTACTTACACATGTAAAACTTGTGTGTCAGTCTGACCCCTCCCACCACCAGGATGTTGACTACTTATTAGACCTGCCAATAGAAACATATCCTTTCTTACAAAACTGCTCATCTTGCATGCATTTATGCAGCGATTATTTCCTTCCAGAAATGAAGGCAAATCAGATCCAAGGCAAAACGGACTGGATTTGTGAGCTCCTGAAAGCCGTCCTATGGTCCTGGGACCAACTTGGGCTAAATGAGGAGACAGCATCAGATGGGTGATCAGCTTTAGCTGCTGGAATGCAGAAGGATGCTTTCTGATCTTGCCTCTTTTAATAGTAGCAGCTAGCTAACCAAACTCAAAACAGTATTCTTCTGCCCATTTGTATTTCATCCCCTTTTCAGCACTGAATTCCATGAACCCAGAAGGAGCAATGTGCTCATCCCTGTCTGGGAGTGCCTCCCCAGCACCAAGCACCAGCTCACCCAGCTCACCACCAGGGCTGTGTTTGCTTTATATCCAGAGAACACACTTGTTCCAGGGAACACTGGATATGATTACATGCAATCTGATTTTTGTTTCATTTTTTCATCTTTGTTTCAATCTCCTCAATTAATTTGAACAATAAACACTTAAAATAACAATGTATGTGCTTCAGAGCCCTGAACACTTTGCAAGAGAAAGGTGGGGCACGTTTCAAACTTGGAATCCAAATCGAAGAGCTGTCCTAACCATCAGCTAGTTGGGACTCCTATTATTTTCTGATTCTTTTTTTCAACCTATTGGCCTGATAAAGCCATATGCTATAAGGCTTCTAATTTCAGGAATGTGGCAGTGCGAATTCTATACAAAAAAATTAGGCTTTCATTTTCCCTTTAGACAATTTTCACCACAGATTCTGCTTAATCATGCAGAGCTTATGCTAATTTCTGTCTGAAAAAAGGTCTCTAGCTCATTATCGAATTTTATATAAGAAACCTACTTCGTCTTCTGTAAGAGATGGATCTTCCTCTCGAGACTTGTAAGACATCGAACTAAGCCTCTGTGAAAAAAGGGAGAAAGAAAGAAAAAAAGGCTCATTACGAGTCAACAGTGTGATACCTACAATAAAACCCTCGCGCTACAATCAATACATTGTATTTTATGGTCATTTGCTCACTAGTTCCATTTCACGGAGCTAATTTCCAGCGTACATCTCTGGAGATAACAGCCCTGAGGTTAGTAGAGCTTTTTAATGTATCTGCTCTTACACTGACCTGAAAAGGACAAATATAATGTAATGCTTAAAACAAACTCTGCTGCGCTGTATCCCTGCCTTCAGACTTCCAATGAAGCAAGAAAGAGTCTGCAAAGGTTTTTGAGCAATTAAAAAGTGAGCTACAATACATCTTCAGGTACGTTCCTAGAATACAAAAGGACTACGTGAACTGGTGCCTTCCTTGTGGTAAATGCCCTTCCTTCAGTGGCTCTGGAAGCACTGCAAGGCAGTTGAATCCCTCCACCATGCCATGCAGCTGCTGCTCAAAGGTGCCCCTGGCTTCAAGGCCACACATGCTTCAACACGGGTTGAAAGGGGAAGCTACATTCTCTGAGGTCTGCTGGTCCAGCTCATGTGCCAAAGCGACCTAAGAATAGAGGCTTCGTGTAACTTCAAGAATCCAAAGTGGAATGCACAGGGGAAAAAAAAAAAGGAAGAAAGAAACAAAGAAACATGAAACACTGGAAAAGCCATCTGACTATTACAAAAAATGTCTGAGGACCTCTAGCTTGGCCACCTTCCAGCAGATGTGGGATTCCTCTGCACCACAGCACAATGACCTGGCGGACCTCCTGCTCATGGTGGCTGGAAGGGAGTCTTCAGCACTATTTGCAACAGGCTACGTTTTGGAGTTTTATGCAAATTCTCCACCTTGAACATCAGGTGCCTTCCAGTGCAGACCAAGACTGAGAAATAGAGCTCCACCATTCTAGCATGGTCTCTGAAATACTGCTTCCAGAAACATATGAGTTACACAAAACTTTTTCCCCTACAGGTTCCTTACAGCAAATTCCTTCCTACTTCCACCTTTCTTGGTGCTTTTACTTCTAATAAATTCCAAGCTTCAAACCCCAGACATGGGTCTGATGAAGACTCTGAAGTCAACCCTGGGGTTCCTGGCTGCTGACCTGCTGGCTGGTGGACCTGCTCCTCAACCTGGGCTTTGTTTACTTACTGATAAAACGAAAAATAAAAGATAAAGTTCAAATTCACTTTGGCATAGCCCTTTACTGGATCTGCTATACTACAGCAGCTTGGCTTATTCTTTCTTACTTGTAGGATGTTTTCTGTCCAGAGGAGTAGCTGAATATTATCACTGTTATCCACTAAAACAAATGTGCAAAATTCTGCAGTGAAGTCATTTTTTTATTAGAGCATCTGTGGGCACTTCTGCAGTTTCCCACTCCAGCCCTGAGAAATACCTCCATGTGCTGACAGCCCTGCACTTGTTTTCCTACTATGAAGCATTCTTTCCTCTAAGCACAGAACCCATGACATTGGCCTTGACAGATATCACCATGTTGGAAACTGAAAAAAATACTCGCTCCTGAACAGTTTGTACCTAGCAATATTATAAATCACATTTGAAACCTCAATGCAAACAGAACACGTCCTTGTTTTCTATCCCCTTTCCTTTAGTTCCTCGACAGCACTGGATTTTGTGCTTGTTGGCTTGGCTATGCTGCTGACTGAGGCACCAGAACAAGGACACCATTCTCCTGTGGTGCATTAGCAAGAGATGCTTTGCCCATCCTCATGCTGTGCTGGTCTGAAATCAGATGGGCAGCAGCCAAACGCACACACAGAGCACTTCTACCACTCTTCCTGTGTTTGCTCACTCTGGAGAGACTTAGGAGAAAAGGGAGATCTGTGCTGCCTTTTCTGATTAAAAAAAACTTTAGAAAAAAGTATTCTGTCCCTCCAGTTTTAATAGAAGAACTACACCCAAGTTTTTTCAGTTTGCAAAGGCCTGTGAGAGGCACTGCATTACTAAATTTGCCTTTCTTCTCCAAAACCTTCCATTGGTACTGTCTGTGTCACAGCCAACAACCAACTCTCAGAATGAATTGTCATTTGTTCCTCACCCAGCCCTGGTAGCGATCCGTCGTCCTGCAACCACTGCCTGGCAGTGCCGCATAGGAGAGCCCTGAGCAAGCACTGTACTCCTTCTGGCCCCTGCAGGGCTGGATCATTTAGCACTATCAGGAGCACACCTCCTGGAAAAGGAAAAAGCACCATAGAGTGCTGGTTGCATGGAGCTCCTCTTCATGCAGATCATGAACATCATGTTAGAGTGGTCTCTGGTTTGGCACACTCTGCTCTCTCCCAAAGCAAGAAGCAAGAATCATCGAATCATGAAATCATTAAGGTTGGAAAAGACCACTAAGATCATCTAGGCCAGGCATGTCCCAGCCTGGTGCAAAAATAATGCCTCCTATGTTATCCTGTTGGCCCACCATGTCAGAGGCGGATGCTGCTGGTGTGGCAGTAGATGATGAACCTTCCCACCAATATTCCATTACATGTTGTTGCTGTGTGACGGATGGCAGCAGAGGGGCAGTCTGACACAATGGCATCTGGCATGGAAGTATGGATTAAACAAAAGTGTGACACTGAATACCTCCATGTGGAAAAAATCGCACTCACTGACATTCACTGATGCTTGCTGAATGTTTGTACAGACCAAACTGTGGATGTGAGCACAGTGAGGAAGTGAGTGGTGCATTTCAGTAGTGGTGACCCAGTGTCACCTCTGCTGATTTTCACAAGCACAGCATGCAGGCTCTTGTTCATCACTGGTGAAAATGGATAGCTAATAGTGGTGACTATGTGGAAAAAATAATTTTGTAGATAAGAATCTGCTCTATCTATCAAACAGTGTTACTGTGCTCTTTGCAGCTGTGGTAGTTGTCATGGAAATAAACAGGAGGCATTACTTTTGGAGCAATGTTTGTATATGTGGCCCAATGCAATTCTTCACTCGATGCGGACCAGGCAAACCAAAAGGTCGGATGCCTATGCTGTAGTCCAACCATAAAGAAGAGACAGCTGTGAAGTCCATCTAACTAAAGTAATTACAAACATAAAACTTATTTCCATAAACATCTTGTTCCTGGTTGCCACATCAGAAAACACAGGCATCGCAGTGCATCGCTTGAAGAAGCAGAAGAGAGGGAAAAATTATCACCATAACAGAAAAACACTCCTGCACCCACCTCCACATACAATGCCAACAATAATGACATTTATATATTCAATCAATTACCATTTCCAACTCTGCTGCAGCTGTAGCTCTCAAGGACAGGACAGGCACATGCCTCAATGCATAATGCATGCACCTAGCAGAGGGCTCACCAATGAGCTGATGCTGCCAAGGCTTAACTCAGGCTGACATTAGCTCTGAATAAATTTTAATTAGACAAACACCTTTTTTCTGGCACTTAGGGAACTGTATGTGCCATCTCTTGATTAATCCTTCAAAACCTGAACCATTTTAATCAATTCCCAGTCATCGCAGACACTGACATTGTATACATGGCGTGCTGGGAGCTCCTGAGCAGCAAACATGCCTCCTTTGTATCACTGATGGGGGAAATACAATGATTTTCTGGAAACTTTTCACACCTAGAAGGGAAAATGTCACTGGTTCTGAGAGCTCTTTCTCTAAAAAATTAATTAGAAATTGCATACAGCCTGAATTCAGCAGAGGGGAGTGTTAGTGGATTATGAGCAACACACTGTATTAATTTACTACTTAATGAGCTTGTTATTCGTAAGAATGTGCACTGAAGAGCCTGAATGAACAATGTTCTGATCTTAAGTCTTCTCTGTATTCACACTGGCTCACTGGGGTTCTGTACATTATACGGTTAAACACAGAATCATAGAATCATAGAATGGTTTGGGTTGGAAGGGACCTTTAAGACCGTGTAGTTCCAACCCCTGCTATGGGCAGGGACACCTCCCTCTACACCAGGCTGCTCAAAGCTCCATTGAGCTTTACCTTGAATGCTTTCAGGGAGGGGGCATTCTAACATGCATTAAACAGGTATTTTTCTGCCCTCTGCCTGCATTACTGAAGTATGTCAACCACATGGACAACGAGAAGCAAATAATAACACCTCAGCTCTCCTATCATTTTTCAGGTAAATGCTTACATTTAAATATCACATCAAATCTCAAGGATTTTTGGAAAGGTTCATCAATATCAGAATCCACAACTATACTAACTTGCTAAAATCACTGTTTTGTTTTTTTTTTTCCCCGCAGTTACAAATTTTCTAAACCAGTCCTGAAAAATGCAAACTCAACAATTTGTGACAACTCCGTGATTATTTGAAAGAATTCTTAGAACTGATTCTGGTGAAAAAGGAAAATGGGTAAGATCACTGAAAATATCATTGCTGTTTTTCATGGGGTCCACCATTAAGGCTGGGAGCAAGAATGAGCTCTGAGAGAACATAATGTTTGGCTGAGGTAAGAATTATTATGTGTGACAAACAGAACTTGACGAGTACAAAATCTATGGGTTTAGAGAGTTTCTGCAGCTTTTATGGCTGGCTTAATGGAGATATTTAATTTAGCACTTCTCTCCTGTGATCCTTTGTACATAGGAATTGCTGAATAGCAGCTACAAGACCAAAAGCAGATTTTATGTTTTAGAAGTCTACAACTGCAGTCTCTCTTCCTCTCTTTTGCTGTCTCTATCATTTCATACAGAGGGAGACCAGATGAGTGGCACTGAGTGGCACAGCAGTCACACAGCGGGGCTGATGCAGCCCAACACAAGAGGCACATCTAAAGCTACAGCATCTCAATCCAGTCTGAACAACATATAGCTGTTAACAAAGGCATCGGATACCTACTGCAATAGTACCCAAAAATATAATACCATTCAATAATGAAGCAAAGGCTTTCTATGTAATTTCTAGATAATATTTGGGAAAAGCTTTATAAAAAGCATACTGCAAGAGTTCTGCTTATAGGTTCCTATAAAATAAACACACGCCTTTAACACAGAAGCTGTGCTGTGCATTTTCCCATTTTCCTATTTTTGTCTTGCCTCACATTGTTTTTTTATTTCTTGGCATTTTTTGCTATTTAAAAAATTCTTCAGCCCTTTAAGTTCTCTAACTATTGTCTAATAGTTGGACATGGTCAAGTAGTATTTACCTTCTCTGGTTTACTTGCTCCTTCTGTCCCTTCTCCTTCATCCACTTCGTTCTCTTGCACATTCTCATTTTCATCAAGAAGTTTCATGGGTACTGGAGGAGGAAGCTCATCCTCTACATCTGGTGTGTTGTCCAGAGGGCTTTCTGAATTAGCACTTTGGCGACTTTTTTTATTTCGGTCAACAGATGCATACTCTGCTGATTCAATTCTGCACTCAGGAATCTGATCCTGACCTTCAGTAACCATCATTGAAGCCGCTGACTTTCTGTTGCAGCTTCTTTCCATGTTGGCTGCTGCTCCAACATCTTTGATTTCCTTCACAGTTTCATACAAGCAGTCTTCAACTATGTTCTCTTGAGAGGAGCTGTCTTTCAAGACTTCGTAAGGCCCTTCCATTCCAAGACCTTGATCATTTTCAGCATTTCTAGCTGAGATGATGGTCTCCATGGTATTGTTAGGGGGAATACTGGGTAGTTCCCGGCTCTGGTGACATTTTAAGGATTTCCCAAGACTATCCTGTTCTAGCAGATCAGAAATAGATGTTTGTACTTCTTCATAAGGCTGGATACAGGCAGTTGTACTGTCCTCTGAGAGCACTACAGAAAATGATTAAAGAAGTATTTGAAACAACTGCATGACTGAGAAAGGCAAATGTGGTTTGCTACTCTCTACATTATTCAGTTTTATCTCTCATTAAAAAGGATAAATGATAGTAATGCCTGAAAAAATCATCATGTTTTCACTTTACCAGAAGTTTTCATTTATGGAGATTTCTGCACTCTACTGCATTATTCTGACAACACCTTAAATACTTTGTGCACACTTACATCACTTCACAGTGTTCACATTAAGAATGGGTGGGTTGGCACAGGTATGTGAAGCTGGCTTGTACTTGGTTCTGTTGAATGCTTAGACTGCTGAGTCATCTCCAAAGGGGAACGTTGGCAGGAGGCCTCAAACCAATTGCATTTAAAATATCTTGAAGAGATTTTCCTCTTTCCACTTCCTTATTCTGCAGTCAAAAAATGCTTTTTTGCTGCCCTCTCCCTACCCAGCCTCACCTTGTTTAACATGCTGGCCAAATTCTCATCTGACCCACACCTCACTCAACCTTGCTGAAGTCAGCCTCACAGCTCACAACACTGAGAGCAGTTTATCAGAAGGCTGTGCCAAACTTCTCCTAGTCTTGCAGCACAGAATGTAGGCTGACAACCTACTAATGAGCCAGCCATATGCACAAAAGAGAAGATTAGACTTCACAAAGTAGTGTTGGTAGAATGTGTTTCAGTCACAGAAGTGGGCCGCATGTCTCTGTCACAAATAGGGCAATGAGGGCTGAAATTTATGGGACTTCTCATCTTACAGTGCTCACATAAGACATTTGCCTGTGTTCACAGATGTATATATACACATGCACATATGAGCACATTCCAGATAGTACAGGATATGTTACTTCATGCGACACTGTTTCTTTCAAAGATTGTTTCTGAATAGCTTTACAGCAGAGTTCCTATGTCATTCTCTTGGAAAAATCTCTTGGAAATGGAAGAACACCATTTCCTTTAGAGTGTTTGACATTATGACACCAACTGTGTCCATTATGTTACCAAAGCAATCAGTGCCATTGACTTGGTGGTTGATGAGTATGTTTCTTTATTTTGTACTCTGGGTATGCAGACTCACACAGCCAACTCCCTTGGGATCCATAATCTGACAACAGAACCCGGGAAAAAACTTAAGGTGTGAGTAATTGCTGCATGAATGGGAAATGTGAGAAGAAAAGGAAAACATCCTTCTCCATTCACCTGCCTCCTGTGCAGACCTGGGGAGGAGGAGTAAGACACATGCAAGGTGTCCAGTTCACTCCCCATGCTCCCTGCAGGCTTCCTGAGGAACAACAGGAACCAGCCTGGAGAAACTTCAGCATGTTTTTCCCATCTGGCCCTTGGGGATATCTGTGTTCTGTAGAAGGGTTGGTAGATAAGGGTAGATAAGCAGTCACCAACACAGTGCTAGCAAAAGAAAAAAAAACGTGTTTGATGGTGCTGCTCTTATAGCACTTCTCCTTCTCAAAAGGCAGAAACAGCAAAAGAAAGAAATATTAACAGAAATGATACACAAAGCATAAATAATAAAATAAAGTAAATCGGTTCCTGTTATGTGAAAGGGTTGCTATACACATTGTAAGCTGAATGTTATCAAACAGTCCAGAATCTGCCTGACAGCTGACAGCACTCCTCTTAGTGGTAGCTTCCAACAGCTGAATGTGTGGTGACTGCTGGTAGGCAGGAATGCTTCCCTGCACAGAGCTCTGCTCTGCATGAAGAGTCACTGGGAGATGTAAACAAAGCAACAAGTCAGCGTATGGAAACTGCAGTGAAATGCAATGGCAATGTTTAGAAACTCCTTTGGTTATTTGTCTCGGGGGGTTAAAGATTTAATAGCTTACCCTCCAGCTTCACAGTGAGCTGCAAGTAAGGGACACAGCCTTGGTGCCACAGCAAGCCATTGGCTCTCACCAGTGCTTTACCAAGAGCACATTTATTTTTAGGCATAGCTGAGCAAAGTATTTTCTAGTGATATGTGACTTCCAATGAGTGTGAATCTTTTTGAGTGCTCAGCAAAACAAAGAATAAGAAAAAAAGGAACTGTATTTGTTTCCTAAAATACAAAAAGACAAGTGACAACCTCCTACAGCACGGGTCTATGACCCAAAGCTGTTGTCCCTGAAGGAGGACCTGAAATATTTCCACAGACATGAGGAGCATTTCTAAAGCACCAAGGTCCAGCCACACCTCTGGTCACATCCCAGCTCCATAGCTGGCTGATGGGAACCCAGCAGGCTGTGCCTGGCAACCAGGTCTATCTGCACCTGTAGCTTTGTGGCAGCTGAGTTCGTGCCAGATCCCCCAGGGATCCAAGGGGAAACAAAGGGTATTCAGGCAAACAACAGAACTACACCCAAGGAAAGCAGGCGGCTGGAAACCTAAGACATGATTACAAATGACAAAAGTTTTGGAGCGTGGCTGAGTTGGGTGCTCTAAGTGTGGGCACTGCACTTCATGGCCATCCCTCCCAGCAGAGCCGTACTGCTCACCATCGCCATTGCTGAGCGCGCCGTTCTGCTCGCTGCTGGGCGGCGGCTCCGTGGCGGAGCTGGTGATGGAGTGGCTGAACACCTCCTTCTCAGAAGGCTGCAACATAAAGCAGGTAGGTTGCATCAACATTTGGGAATACTCGTTTCCAAGAACGGATACATAATGAATTTCGTTCTCATCTCAGGAGTGCTGACTTGCATGTTTTATTGCCAGGAAGGTCAAATCGTACACACTGTTCTCCAAGAGTTATTTATGTGTTTACAGATGTTAAAACAAACCAATGCAAGTACACCCAAGGTGATCTCCCTTCCAAACTCTGTGTGAATAGAAATCACCACCACTTAAACAGTTAGAAGACAGTGGCTGACAAATGTGTAAACCACACTTGCACTGCAACCTGAGCAAAAGGAAAGCAGGAGATCTGGAGTGACAACAAAAAATTGAGATTGACTGAAGTTGTCCTCCTTTTACTGTTCCCAAACTTCTAAATTTCCCTTGCTCAACAGCCTCTAAACTCCTGATCTGTTTTCCAGCATTTTGCAAGGAGCCAGATGCAAACCAACCCCAAGGAAGACATAAGCTGCCAGAAACAAACACTTACCACACTCATCAGATTTTCATGATCTCCATTCTGATGTTTGGACTTCTTTTCCCTTAGTGAAGAAGTACAACGTTACTACAGATTACACTAATCTTCAGAAGTCAATCATTAATAGCTTTTACACAGGGAGCTGAACACAGCTGCTGATTCACAACATTACAAATTGAATAACTAAGGATGATTACAGGGACAGGTGTGGCTTCAACAGTAGGTCATCAGCAAGATAGGGTGGTGGTGAACATATCCTGAGGAGGTACAGTGAACACACACAACCTTTTTTCTTGTTTAATGTAAGATCAGACTAAAGAGTTACTGATGGTAATCACAATATTATTATCATCAATTGAATTATATCTGAAACATTCAGAGATACATGATACATGGTATCAAAAACATGTCTTTTGATAACAGATGTGAGGTTCCCTAAACTGCATGAGTAAAACACGTCTATCTTCTAAAGAAGTAGAAGAAACCCACAAAATTCATCCTACTTCTACTCAGGATGCCAGCTACAATTAATAAGCACAAGAACATGAGCAGTTCAAGCAGCCTATAAATTGCATAGTAGCAGAGGCTTCGAACTTCACATTTAGATGAATTCTGCTTCAGTAGGAACTTTGCAGTACTCAAGGTCTGGATTGAGTTTTCAGTTTCTATAACTTTGGAAATAAAACCATAGAACTGTTGGAGTTTGAAAGGTCCCTTAAAGGTCTTCTGATTCAACTTCCCTGCAATGAACAGGGACACGTACAGCTAGATGAGGTGCTCAGAGTCCTGTCCAGCCTGACCTTGAATGTCTCCAGGGATGGGGCAGCCACCTGTTCCAGTGCCTCACCATCCTCACTGTAAAAATCCTCTTCCCTATATCCAATCTAAATTTTCCCTGTCTTCATCTGAAGTCATTTCCTCTTGTCCTATCACAACAGAGCCTGCTAAAGAGTCTGTCCCCTCCTTTCTTATAGGTTCTTATTTTGAAATACTGTAAATAAAGGACAACCTTGAAATAATAATGCTTCCTCCCCTAGGTGAAAATGCAAGTAAAAAGGTGCAAAAAATACTGATGAAATGAAATCTGTGATACTTTTAAGTCTGTAATGCACCATACTTCTCACATTAACAACAGTTAAAATGCCCAGGTCATACAGACTACTGTTAAAGTGTTTTTAAAGTTCTTTGGAAGTTTTCTGACTCTGACATTTTAGAATGAGAAGATTTTGTTTAGTTTCCCATGTCCTCAACCATTTTTAAAAAGTAAGCTAGGAAGAAATTTTACATAATTGCATTTATGCATAAACAACCTGCCCTACACAATGACCTGCAATAAAAGATACTGCATGTAGACCTGCAACATAATCAGTTATTAAAGAGCTTCTCCAGATAGTTTCTGACAATGAATCTCAGTAGCTGCAAGGACAGACTCAGTGGTTTGATTTGGCTTTAAAAACATCTTTGTAGCAATGCTTCAAGGTTTGGAATGAAATTACACCTTCCAGCTCACGCTTTTTAGGGTGTCAAACAGCTGCTGGTAATGAGCACAACTGCATTTTGCTGTGTGAGCATTAGAGAAATTCTCCTGTAAAACAGCCTTACATTGTAGATATATGTTATGCCAGAATAGGATTTTTCTATGGTTGTACAGCTTCCTGAAGAATACATTCAGCCTCCAGGCAGGTGTCTTCTAAGACAGGACAGACCCCATAGGATCCAACCCTTCAGAGAGGCTGGACTCAGCACTGAACCCAGCAGCCTCCAGGAATGGCCAAAGCAAAGCAGAAATACATAGAAGTGACTTTCCTTTTTCTCTACACTTTTTCAGTTCTGTTCAGTTCACCTCATTTTCTCAACTGATAACGGGTTATGGAAACTTTTACTTCTAGATCTCTCTGCGAAACCACCTGTTCTCTCAAAAAACCTGGCAAGTCCAAACGTCCAAATGATGAGTCAGGAAGAGGGAGCTGTATGTGTGTGTGTTGGAGAGAGGAGAGATCCCAGAGAAGAGGCATCTCCCAGCAGGACAGAGGGACTGATGGTGGCTGCTGACTTTTCCTCAGCAGGGACTAGTGCTAACGTACTGCTCCTGTCCTGCAAAACCCTGAGGACTGCTGGATCTGAGCAGAAGACAACTTCTCCTGTCTGGCTTATCCTTCCAGGTCACCCCAAGACATGCAGCCCTCGTTTCCCTTTTGCCTGACCACATCAGCTCTGCCTCCTGGTTTATAAAACTTTTGACACATTTGCACTATTTCAGCATAAAAAGGAAAACCTTTCTGCTTTTATTTCACCAGGAGACATCTTGCTTCTCCAGCTAGTTGTAAAGAAGCATTTAATACTACCATTGGTATAAAGAAACAGTATAGGATAGATGGAAGTATCACAGAATCATAAAGGTTGGAAAAGACCTCTAAGGTCACCAGGTCCAACAATCAACCCATCTCCCCCATGCCTGCTAACCTCAGTGCCACATTCACACATGTCTTGTACGCCTCCAGGGATGGTGACTCCATCACCTCTCCGGCTCCTGTGTGTTACCACTTCCTCTGAGAAGAAATTTTTCCTAACATCCCACCTGAACCTCCTTTGGTAAAATGTTGGTAAAATATCAAAGTTTTGACTTAAGTAATATAACTTAAAAAATGTTTTTAGACAGATCTTTCTGAGCATTGTGTGAGCTGATACCCAGGAGAATGCAGAAAGCCAAGATATGTCAAGGGGATCTATGAGTGAGACACAGGACGGATGGTGCTAGAGAAGGGCTGGCACTACCACTGCTCCCCTTCCCAGCACATCATTACAGTCAGCCTCCCCAGGGTATGAGAAAGCACCTAGCAAGCATACAGCATTACTCCTTCACAATGAAAATACATTTTTAGATTCCTCCTCTGCAGCAGAAAACAGTAAGAACTGCTCAAATTCAGGTTTGCTCTGAAAACAAATGTACTGTCAGGCACAAGCTCCCAGATAAATTACCCTGAGGGTAAAACACTATTGGAAGCCAACCCACAGACATACCTGTGGGCTCATCATGGAAAAGGCAGGGTAGTGTGAATTAACTTAGCTCTCCAAAAATGCAAGTGACTACTTTGCATTAACTTACTACAATGTGATAATTAGGTACTTCTGCACTTAAGTTCTCAGTGTTTCTCACTAATTAGTTACCGGTGCAGCTATTTCAGTCCATGCAATTACTTGAGAAATGTCATTGCATCCTAAGCTCCTGAGTCATACCTGTTGCAGCTGGAACAGAGGAAGATGAGGAAGGTGAGGAATAAGAGCGTTGTTACAGCTGCCAAGCTTCCCCACAGGATGACGTGGATCCGTCCGCTGCTGAGGAAGCTGCTGTCTGGTCCCATGATAGTAGCAGGAGCTGGTGTCACTGGGGATGAAGAGGCTACCACTGGGAGAAGGCCAGCATCTGTGCCAAGCACAGCTTCTGCGTCTGCAGAAAGAGAAACAATTTTGAAAGTTAACGTAGATTTTGAGGATAATGAATCTGACAACTCCAAACCTGGCAGGAGAGATTTTCAGATGGAGATCTTAGAAAAAAACAGTTCGGAGTGCAAGACAGCCAGAGAAAGATTATCTTCAGCTGCATTTCTGATGGTGACATAGAACAAACCTTGTCAAACATTAATGCAGCCTGTTACATATCTACAATCTCAGCATGAATAAAATGTAGCACAATATCTCCGTGCTAGCTCTGTACTTGTTCCTGAGGAAGAAAGTTTACAAATCCACTTCAAGGCACAGAGTAGTCTACTTTGCAATGATATTTGTTAATTTCATTGAAAAGTGAGTTTTCAAAAAACAATTACTGCAAAGTTAACACGATAGAGTTGCAGCAGGACTTCACCTCCTGTCCCTGTCTCCTGTCTGCAAAGATTTCAGTGTTTAAAATACAATGACAAGTAAGTTACATAAGGCTTTAGAAAGATACCACAGATCTTTCTCACAGCAGATCAGCTCTAATCTGCCAAACTATTTCTACATGAAATACTTGTTTTCTTAACCACTGGTCTGAAAAGTAGTAATACTGAATTCTTTTTTTGCTTTTTCTCACTTAAGTGCAAATCTAAGATAACAACTAAAGAGAAAAACAGACACTGGTTTTTAAGAACTCGGATAAACAGAACTTTTGCTACAGCATAGAAGCCCCTGGATAAACATTCTGGGTTAACAGCATTACGATACGTAATTTTTATTATTCACTGTGTTATGAACATTTGTACATTTTCTTAATATAACACATTGTTGTCTTATGGCAATGTTGAAAATAGAAAGGACAGGGAGCAGCAGGCATCTCACATATTGTGAAAGTGCAGAACACGTTTTACTCGGAGAACCAACACCCAATAGCCACTGCAGCAGACCTCAGTGAAGATGATTACTTTGGACCAGTTCCTATGGTGGATTTTGCTGCCATGCTGAGCAATCTCTTTCTGCAGTTATTTTGTTAGACAATGAAAAAATGAACCTTTAAAAGCAATGAAGACCACTCTAGAAATGATGCATATTGCAGATGTAATTCTGATACAGCCCTGCCTTATTTCTCTTCTAAAGCCAAGGTTACATGCACAATGAGTCACTGTCACATCACTGGCCGCAAAGGCATGAGAGCTTCAGAGATGAGGAATCAGATTTAGTCAGGAACCCCACCAGTGACTGGTTGACAACCTGATGTAATTCCATTTACTATAATGCTTTGAGCCCAACCCATCAGCTTTATGTTCACCCACTGCTTTATGTTTTTGCCTAGCTGTATGCTGGGCATTTTGTTCAGAAGGAAGCTGTAAGAAACAGAATTCAGAATTTTCTGAAACCCAACGAGATTACATCAACTGGCTTCTCTTGGTCAACCAGATGGGTGACTTTGTCATAAAAGGAGATTAAGTTCATCAAACAGGACTTTCTCCTCATGGACCCACACTGGCGGTGACCAATGACTGCACTGTCTTTCAGATGTTTTTCAGTAACTCCCAGAATAATTTTCTCCACAATTTTGCCAGGCATCAAAGTGAGACTGACAGGCTGTAATTACTGGTGCCTTCTTTCTCGTCCTTCTTAAAAACTGGGACAGCATTTTTCAGCTTCCAGTTGACTGGGCCTCTCCAGATTCCCAAGGCTGTTGAAAAACAATTGAGAGTCTCCCAGTGAAGTCAGCCAGTTCTTTTGAGTCCCCGGGATGAATTCCATTGGGCCCCGTAGACTTCTATGCATCCAGGTGGAGCAGCAAATCCTGCACAAGTTTGAGGCTGGCTTGCCAAGAAGTGTAAGACACAAGCCAGAAATGAGAAACTCTACCAAGCAGAAGCCAAATGGAGAAAGTAAATGACCAAGGACTGAAACTGTACTTGTCCTGCAGTGAAAGCCTAAGAATGCAGATACCAAAGCTTCAACTGTAGATTGAGAGAAAGAAGTCAGAAATAGTCAAGTGCTGTGGCATTTGAACCAGGAGAGACAACTGCTGGAGACAGCAGCTACTTGCACAAGCTCAGTAAGCTGGAAGAGCTTGACAAAGAAGGAAGCCCTAAACAACAGAAGTGCGGCAGGCAAGGCGCGCCCCAGCGACTTCTGGCTCCTGCAGAACTTGGCATCAGTGCAAGAGCATCTAGAAGCTTTGCAACAGTCGTGCTTTAAATGTAGAGTAGCAAGGTTAATGCATGGCTAATGTAATTGATTTTGAGCAGCCTCAGAGGCTAGCTTTAAAGAGAAACGTACGTGCAGTCATGTACGGAACAACAAACAGCTAACATCGAAGACTCAGACACTGAAATGGTTAACTACTGCTTCTACAATAAAAAGCTATCCAGTGCTGCCCTCTGGTGAAGCTTTCTGTTAGGGGAAAGGTACGTGTGTGTGGTGTCCTCACGGCTGTGCTCTCATGTTGGTGCTGTAGAGGTGAACACAAAACTCTGCTGCCAAGGATGGAGCCTACACAGTGTGTGATCACCTGGCTCGACAAGATGCCCTGCTGCCACCTCTGAGAGACTGCCAGCCTGGAATGGCTTCACCTCGTGGAATAATCACTGGAACAGAGTAAGGAGCAGCTGAGCTTATTGTTTTTAGTGTGTAAAGACCTTTGAACATGAATTCTTTGGTTGCACTTTTTCCAGAGAAAGGAAAGGGGACCTTGGTTCATAAATCTCCACACAAGTTACCAGTGACACAAAACTCTAAAAGAGAGTAACAAAGTCAGACCTGGGATACCTGGATGAGGAGACTTGTTTCATCCACGACAAAATGGCAGCACTGTGGGGTACATTCACACTTCAAAACCACTGTCAGTTCAGTGACCTCATTGACCTCATTGCAGCATTTCAATACCTAAAGGGAGCCTACAGAGGAGAGGGGAATCAACTCTTTGAAAGGGTAGATAACAGCAGGACGAGGGGAAATTGTTTTAAATTGAGGAAGGGGAGATTTAGGTTGGACATCAGGGGGAAATTCTTTACAGACACAGTGGTGAGGTGCTGGAACAGGCTGCCCAGAGAGGTTGTGGATGCCCCGTCCCTGGAGGTGTTCAAGGCCAGGTTGGATGGGGCCCTGGGCCTGGTCTAGCATTAAATGTAGAGGTTGATGGTCTTGCATGTGGCAGGGGAGTTGGAGTTTCATGATCCTCGAGGTCCCTTCCAACCCTGGCCATTCTGTGATTCTGAGATTCAGAAAACTAATTCTTACACTACACTGAACAGAATTTCTCCTTCTTGTTGGAATGTTCTGTTGCTTTTTAGGTATCAATATTTGCAAGTAGTGGAACCTGGGTGACAAATAACACCCATAACCACTTCCTCAAAATTGCACTTAACTGCACAATTCTTTTTGTGGGTTCAGAAAGACAGGCATTTCACTACATGACCTGCACTGTCCCTGAATAATGTGTTATTTTTCCTTACAGGTGCTACAAGGATAAAGCACAGCTCAGCCACTTCAGTGTGATTTGGTGGGGACAGAAGGGAACAATGCAAAAGCATTTATTTGTTGGTAAACTGAGAATAGAAAATGCACCCAAGGTGGAGAGTTTTAAGAGTGAGACATACAAAAGAGTGTGAGGAAGCTGCAATTTTGGGGAGTGCAGGGAGTGAGGATTTTGGATAGTGAGAGCGTGCTGCAAAAGCTCAGAGCAACACCTGAATTTCTTACAATGGGAGCCTGGGAATGAATGGCCTGGAAAGGTTCAGTGCACACAGGACCCAATGACCCAGGAGGTTCCACTCTTTTGGTTTTAATAATGAATTGTAAATATAGACTAGGCAAAGGAAGAAATTGTTCCAACAACAGAACGACTTCAGATCTGCGAACCCAAATGCAAAAGGACAAGATGGACACTGGGATCACAGCTCTCTCTTGTAAATTTCAGAGCAAGAGCTGTTCCTTCTCAGACCGTAAGGTCTCCTACCAGCCCACTACTTCCATTTCCACTTCCAGTGGGAATTGTGCTCAAGATTAGGTCCACAGCAGTAAATTTAACACAACTGGGATAACTGTCTTATACTGGAGCCAATTGGCATGGCACAGTCCAGGTTAAACTTCTCCATAAAATGGTGTTTGCATCCCAACTGTCTACCAGGAGTGGCCCCTGGCCTGAGATATAGCTCATGAGCTGTGCTTGGGAAAGAGCCATTTGATTGCAGCCAAAAGTATGGCTCTGGCTGCCCTAATACATTAAAAGCAGATTGCTTTTATCTCAGACCAAGAATCTGATGAAAGTGGGTCCTTTCGACCTCAATCCCTCGTGCCAGAACTCCTTCTCTCCTTTTGGTACTCCCTCACCACAGGATGTGCCCAGTTTTCCACCCAGCCCAGCTCCTTTCATCAGCTTCCAGCTCCCATCCCTCTCCTCGAGTTCTCACTTCTGTATGCTGCCAGAGGCAATCCCCTGTTATATGTGACAAAAGCAATGGTAATATAGCAATAAACAAAATCATTATCCTTGTTTTAAGTTGGTGCTGGGTACCTAAGAGTAATTGCACATCATTAAATACTGCTGGAGACAACATGTAACAGGACCGCTGTCTGCACTGATGTCCTGCTGGCAGAACTTCTCTTTACAGTGCTGTGACACCAGGATAAAGGCTGTGAGCCTTCTCCAGACACACTGTAGGAAACTTGTAAGACTGGATGGTGTTAGTTTTTCTGCCTGTGTCTTGCTGTGTTCCAGCTTCTAGCTGATTATATGTGGAGCCAGCACTGAACTATGCAAACACAAAGACCAAGATCACCTTTACCCATGTCTGTCTACTGCATTTCACTTTGGAGCTGGTGTGCACAAAATCAGGACAAATTCTTTCCCTTGACTGATTAATGTTGTTCTAGTACAGTTGCATTTTGAGCTAGTTGGCTCAGCAGCACCCATGTAATGGGAACAGTTGAAGACAAAAAGACACGTCTTATTGCAGGCAGTCAAGAACTGCTACAGCAGACCAGCTGTGCACATAATTA